GAAAGCCATTTGACCAATTCTGCTCGATGCTCGCTCGGTGATTAGACGAGTTGCACGAGCTTCCTTTCCATTTGGTCCATCGGTCTGTTGTTCCTGCTTGACGTACTTTACACGCTCGTAAGGCTTCATGGTCGGAGATACAGGCAGTGAAAGCTCACCAGGCACTCAGTATTCTCGCGAACGACAATGAGGTCAACGGCAGGCTGTTGTCCAGCTTGAGGAGCTACCTGAGTGGTTTTTAGTTGGCTTCTTTGAGCCCTTATGCTTGGTACATACAGAAGTGACAGGTCGGATGTTGGCATAGAGGTCCAACTCCTTCCTCAGTTGCACAATAGGCGAAGAGTATCCAGCGACCTTTTGGGAAGGCGAGCTGCAAGACCCTCTCAGCGACTTCACTAGTATTCCAAAGACCACGGACGCACCTGACGGATCCAAATAGAGCACAATCACACTCTTCCCTCAAGACACTTCAGCAGAACTCGTCAGAGGTCAAGTACGCTCACAAGACTGCATTGGCATACCGAACGGTCTCTTTCGGGAGAGCAACACCAGTCTTTTGGAAAGTCTCCCATCCAGCCGATAGGTCGACAAACTCGGGCTTGGGAATATCAGATCCTAATGCAACGATGGCCTCCTTCGCAGCCTGTTTGCAAAGTTAGGACACTGCAAGCTAGGACGAGTGATGCCTGGCAACGTACGGGGATGACCTCCTTGCCAATACCGTCGGCAGGAATCAGGCCAATTCTAAGCGAGGACCGCGCAGCAGTCGACAAGGATCTAATGGGAGCGCGGAACATGTTCAAGTGTAAGGGTTGAGTGCAACGAAGCAATGGAGGCAAAAGTTGAGCAGGGGATTTCTTCGGCCGATTCCCGTTTCCCCACGTGGACCCCTGAAATGTTTTTGATGCTTGACGGATAGGGGCTAGTCTCCCAGTCTCGTGGGTGCTAGAGGATGGTCGAAGGATTTCATTACGGGTAGCAATTTTTACTGTAGTTATAGTTCTCCATCGATCTACTATGGCAATGTAAATCATACCAACAGGTCGACCCCCTAAGACGCGACGCGACGCGTCGATGGTATTTCTCACGACTTTGATGCGGTGGTCAAAACCTTGCTCACAGCTCACACTAACGACCTCGACAATGTTCTCCAGTCCCAACTCTTCGCCTGCTCAGCCTAAACCTCCTTTGGTGACACGGACGAATATCCCAATAAAGTCCCTTTCACGGCAATCATCCCTCAAGTCGTTTCTTCAAACAACACCAGACGAGAAGAAGAAGAGACAGTCGCTATTAACTGGCGATGGACCCAACAAGCGTATAAAGCTATCGTTCAGTCAAGAGGATATCGACTCGGACGCGTCGATTACTGAGAGTGAATGGGAGGAGTCTGAGGACGAGGCGGCTATGGCTGTCGATTCTATGCCTCGACAACTACACCCGTTCCAACAGATGAGCAGGCTGGCGATGAGACCTAGCGGGCCCTCGAATCTTATTCGTGGTAAGGAAGCCTTTCTTCAGCATTTAGGCCTCACTTGACGCGTTTCAACAGCTCGTCCACCAAGCGAACCCATCCTGCGCTCTTTCGTGTCTTCAAACAAGGCAGACGCGTTCCAATGCAGGTCACAGCTACCAGACAAGTACCTGACACCACCTTACGCGTGCTCATACTCTAACGGTACATCTTCTCTTGATTGAAGCTACGACCTACTGCTAATATGCGCGTGGCAGGCTCAAAGGAAGGAGGAGAATCACGGTTAGCCGTTGCAGACGAAGAGGGCACCATCAACATCTTCAACACCGCACGGCGGCAAGACTGGGACGGAGGTTCGCCTTCCCTCACTCTATTGCTCTACCCTTCATCTAACGCATCTACAGCACCCCAATACCAGACTTTGACTTCTCACCAGAACGGCGTCTTCCAAGTCAAATGGAGCCACGATGACAGCAGCATCGCGTCTTGCTCAGGCGACCAGTCTATCCGTATCACCAACCTCGAAACCTCCACCATTACCCACGTCTTCCAAGGTCACTCAAGCACTATCAAATGTCTCTCTTGGGACCCCAACCACAGACAGCTCCTCGCGTCAGGAAGTCGAGACGGGACCATATGCATCTGGGATCTACGCATGAGCGAACGGGAAGAGGAAGAGGATCTCGAAGTCGTCCGACCTTGTCAAATCATTGCTGGTGCCCACGACACCCAGAAGCCCAAGCGGGGACGGAGACCCAAGAGTCAGTCAGGACCTCCAGGGATCACAAGTCTCCTGCACCCTGACACACAACCACACGGGCTTGTCAGCGCTGCCGCTCACGATGGTATCCTTCGGTATTGGGACCTCCGGGCTCTGTCCACACCCAGCAAACGCACGCCCAAAGCCAAGAGCAAGCAGGCTCGTGTTTTGTACTCTTCACCGTTGGACCCGACAGCTCTCCATGGCTCTCGCCGCCCTCGAGGAATCCTCAGCCTCTCTGCCGGACATGGTCCAACTGCAGGCCTCATCTTTGCACTGGCAGCCGACTCGAGCATACACACCTACTCTCTCCCCTCACTTCAGCCATACGTCAACTCAAGCTTCTCCCTGAATAACCCTGCTCGTTCGTTCTACGTAACTCTTTCCGTTTCCTCTTGTGGAAGATGGCTAGCGACGGGCGGCGCTGCAGGAACTGCATCGCTCTTCGATGTTGCAAACACCCCAATCCGCGGGCCCACTGCGGCCATTCAGCTAAAGGGGCATGGAGGGGAGGTGGGAGCAGTCGACTGGGCACAAGATTCGCTGGCAACCTGTGCAGACGATGGAACTATCCGGGTTTGGAGGCCTGATATCGATGTCTATCGACAATGCCAGGACGACCCAGAGGAACAGAAATGGAACTGGACGTGGTCACAGTAGAGTTATTCCGGCGTCATATCTTACACCCTGTATAATAGTTAATCCAAAAAGAAGGAATTGGATTCCAGATTACGATATGGTATAAATGTTCAAACAAGCGTACGTTGCACCAGTAAGCACCATGGGATGGTCAAGTGTACAGGATGGCGACCAATTGCGTCACCGTCTACTTCTGCGTAATAGCATTCACGAGCCTATAAACGCGGGTCAGAGTCACCCGCCGAGCGCGCAGGGAAGAGTAGACTTACCAATCCAAACCGTCCTCCAAGCCCTCACCCTTGGTCGCACAGCTTCCTCTTACACTCCACGGCCTCGTCTTCTCCCCACCAGCCAACCCAAGTTGCTCACTAATCTCCTCCGGCTTCAACGCGCCCTCCACGTCCTGCTTATTACAAAAGACAAGGAGCGGCACTCCTTTGAGCTCGTCTTCTGACAGCATCGTCAGGAGCTCCGTCCGTGAAGTTGTTAGACGTGAATGGTCTGACGAGTCGATAACGTAGATGATGGCAGAGGTGTTGGGGAAGTAGCAGCGCCAGTATGGGCTGAGAGTCACGATGCGTCAGGGGATGGAAAGAAGGAACATGGAGAGAGAGAGAGGACATACCGGATACTGGATTGGCCACCTAGATCCCATACTTGAAACTTGATGTTCTTGTACTGTACAGTCTCTACATTGAATCCAATGGCTGGATTAAGAGCATGCGTCAGCTCCACTCCGCGCAAGAGAACCTCAGCGTGAACGTACTCGGAATAGTCGATACAACCTCTCCGATCTATGGCCAAGTCAACTATCCTGCTCAGTTAGCCAAGGTATATGCACTGACCTGAAGCCGGTACAGAATGGTTGTCTATACGAAACGGACGAGCGCAATGTCAGCTTCGATTTCACACCAAACATAACACAGAAACTCACCTTTCCAGCAGAGTCCAAGCCAAGCATCAAGATCCTCACATCCTGGTCCTTACTCCATCGAACCAGCGAGGTCATGGACTGAAAGAAACTAGACAAAGTAAGACCCATTGTTCTGCTAGTCAAGTTCTATTTCTTCTTCCTGCTTCTTCTATTGAGAGTGCGTATTATTAGTCGTTGAAGCCGAGGGGAAATCGTAGGGTGCCAATTAGGAATGTGTGATAGGCGAATAGAAGGGTCGTCAAGCAGAATCTGTACAAGTGGTGGACGGGAAAGAAAGGTGATGGTGACTGAACAGGGGAGAGAGTTGATGGACGAAAGCGCCACGTGAAATCGCCCCTATCCTCCAAATCAGTGCTTCCGTTTCGGGCACAGTGCTTGAGCTCAAAGAAGGCAGGAGCATAGATATTCCTTCAAACAACCTCTCAGCAATTAGAAATGCGTGTTGAGTGGTGTCATCTAGTCTCAATCCTGATATAAAATGTGGTAACATAGCTCGCTGCCAAGGTACGCGCAGGGAAAGAGCATGGCTTAGTTGGCCTCCCAGGCCCGGTCTATCTGGAATTACATTTAACCCTTATGCAGCGCATGAAAGCTTATCTTTCAAGGAGAATTGCTGGAGTATGGCGCTGGACAGCTACCAGCACCGTTCCGCTACGATACTAACTTGCCCCACTCCCCTGAGCGTCTGCTAGGAGGGTGACCAAAGGGCCAGCTGCAGCTGAGCAATGGGAAAGCATTATCGGCAGAAGCTTCTAAAAAATCCAGCGCAATACTTACTGTATGCTCATCCTATACATGGACGTCGGACAAACGCCATCGCTATGCCCGGTTTATATCGCAGATACCGAGCCGTTCTCTGTAAGGCGTGGGTTCTTGGCTCGTCACGCTTCTCGGTGTTGAGGACTGTTGTACCTGAATACATAGACCCCTTTAACTGACATCTGCTTCCTTGATCTTCTAGTCAATGCTTGACTGAAAGCAGGGTGCTTTCCCTCCCCTCCTCTGGGATACCCACGAATTTAGGGTTAATGTTGTGGCATAGCAAATCTTAGCGCAGGTCTACTCTAGTCCTGTGAGCAGGAATTCTAGGAGAGTCCGACGGTACATCTCGCATTGAGTGTCCCACAGCAGCGAACGGAGCACAAAGTCATGTGGATACCCGCCATAGCCTGGAACAGCCTCGTTCTTTCATCGGCCTGATGGTCTAGTAGTATGATTCCTTGTTAGGGAAGGTTGTTTCTACTTCGAGGAGGTCCCGGGTTCAATTCCCGGTTAGGCCCGCTTTTTTGTACCCTAATGTTTTGCTTCTCCAAGTGGCAGGCAAGACCAGCAACGAACGGAAGGGAACGATCAGGAGCATCACTGAACATTTCGGTTGCTCGCGGTGAGGGAGCTCTCAAACACTCCCATTTGACTTCAGGACTTGGACAGTCTTAAAACCAACAGTATCTTCTCCAGCACAACAGTTATTCCAAGGTTATTTCGATGGGAAAAAGTGCTAGTTTTGCCGCATAAACTTTAGACGCGCGTGGCGCGATCAAAACCATCGCCCCTAACTCCGGGTGCCCGGTCCGCGCGGCTTCAACCCAAGCGCCAAACGACCTTCCCTCCTCCCTCCTACACCACATCTGCTCTACGTCTCTTCAGCCCTAACACTATGGGTAAAAGTAAAAGGCTAAAGGCTGAGGCCGACAATACCATGCAAGTCGATATTCAAGAAGGCGACGGCGCTACCGCACAGTCTGAAGCAAAAGTGAAAAAGTCGAAAAAGCGCGTACTAGAGGCATCGACAGTCGTAAACGACGAGGGAGGCACTGAGGAGCCACCCAAAAAGAAGAAGAAGAAAAGTAAGAAGGAGAAGGAGACTATGGAAGTGGATGGTCCGTCAAAGTGTTTCATATCATATGTGCAACTCTGCTTATCTTGGTGCATCCTCGCAAGACGATGATACTATTAACCCGAAATTCGACGAATCCTCAAACGTTGCGGATACTTCTTCTAAGAAGGAACGAAAGGCGCAGAAGAACGACTGGAAAAACAAGAAGTCTGGCACCGTGGATGATTCTATGGACGTGGATGCGCAATCCCCCGGGGATGCCGATCCTGGAGTAGCGTCGGTGGATGTTGAGAAATCCAAGGACAAGAAGAAAAAGAAAGACAAGAGTAGGTCCAAGAAGGAGGATGCTTTCGACGAACCTTCCCCTCCTGTGGAGGAATCCATACCTCTCGTATTCGACGCCGAACCCTCAGCTCTTCCTTCACCCAAGAAGAAGCGCGAAAAGCGTCCCAAGGACCGCATCAAGAACAAACCCGTCAAAGACTCCAGTCCCTCAGAGGCTACCACCAAACAGAAGAAGAAAAGGGCTCGCAAGAACAGAACGTCTTTTCCCGACCCAGAGGCAGACGAGAGTTTGAACTTGCAAGCCCAAAAGGCACTCGACTATGCCTTTACCCAATTCAACGCTCCCAACGAATGGAAGTTCAACAAGGCACGGCAAAACTGGATCATACGGAACGCCTTTAGTGCTGAATCTGTGACTATTACTTCCGCTGCCTCTTTGCTTGCGTTTCAAAGCTAACGAGACTATCAGATACCCGAGACCTATCTATCTCTTGCTATCAAATACCTCTCTGGCCTGCAAGGTGGCTCACGAGATGTACGTCCTTGCTCCCATCGCTGTTGGCACCTCTACTGACCATCAACGCAGAAGCTCAAAGATACCTGCAATTCGATCATCACTGCTCCTCCCCCTCCCCCTCCAAAATCAACCAACCCAGACGGGCCTAAATCCATCTTGAAAAAGCCCACAGAAGAGGGCCCATTTCCAGCGAAAGTCAAGTCTTCAGCCAAAGCAGGTCCGCTCATCGACATGCCCAAGGCAGGGCCCCTGATTGACACACCAAAAACTGGTGCTCTTGTCGAGCCCGAAGCGATCGAGCAGGTTGGACCTTCACCAGCAGATGTCAAGCTCGAGCGGGCAAAGGCCCTCCTGGAAGCTTTAGAGGCCTCTGGAGAGTCATAGCCTTGGTCCTTGACAAGTCATGTTGCTTCATAGTACCCTACCCAGTGGAGGTTTGAACACACGTTCGTTTGCGTTCAAGCGCGCATTTCCAACAGCAGACAAATGAGGGGTTGCGTATCCACACGCCGGACAATCATATTCCTTCCACCAGCTATTTAACTTCTATCCAAGCATCCACAACTAAATCTAAACCAAGCAAGGAGGGGTGTAGGCCCCTCCTAATCAGAAAACCCGATAACATGACACACGAACATCAAACAAAAGGATATCGAAAGGAAAAGAATGGGAATCGAAAGAGTAACATCGAACGAGAGGAGCCTGACACTCGAAGGCGGTTAAGCCTGAGCATCTGCAGTCACACTCGTGTTCGAGCTGCCCATATCCAGTTGGTCGATGGGGACGTGAACACCACTTTTCATCATCTCGCCCTTGGTGGTAGTCGTGCTCGTAACGAGATGGATTCCACCCTCGGCGACGATGACCTGCCTGTTGGGCTGGAGCTCGCCTTCGATGGGACCGAGAAGGTTGTTCAGTATTCCACGGGCAGCAGTCACGGCTTCGGTATCCACCACAGGCTTGTCTCCGTCCCTCAGAGTCGAGGGAGTGGTACCAGTCGTAAGGCCGAGTTGGTCCTTGGTCCAGATGGGGTCGACGTGCTCAGGAACGCCTTCCATGCCAACGTTGGCGCGTCCACCCATGCTCTTCCAATCAGAAAGACGGTTGATCTGAAGTTCCGTGAAGACCTGGTCGACAGCAGCGATCATGCGGTCCATTTGTTCGGCCGTGTGGCGAGGGGTGACAGTGAATCGTAGACGCTCTTCGCCGCGCGCGACAGTGGGATAGTTGATAGCTTGAACGTAGATGTCGTGCTCCGCAAGCAGCTTGTCTGAAGCAGCCTTGGCCAATTCAGGATCACCAACAAGGACAGGAACGATATGTGAAGGACCGGGGCTACAAAAGAACCGGTTCAGTCATTCTGTCACAACTCGCTATGGAAGCAAGGAGGCTCACATGACAGGGATATCCAGTTGGGTGAAGCGTTCCTTGACATGGAGCACATTGACCTGCTTGAGTTGACGATCGCCGACATAGTGCTTCTGGTATGCGACGCTGACACGAGCACCAGCAACAGTTGCAGGGGGCAGAGAGGTAGTGAAGATGAAGCCGGGAGCATATGACCTGATCATGTCGACGAAATCCGCCGAGCCAGCGATGTAGCCACCAACGGCGCCGTAAGCCTTTCCAAGAGTACCTGAAGAGATGGTCAGCGCTGAAGTTCATAAACCATTTCCAAAGGTTTGCATACCAGTGATAATGTCAACGCGATCCATAACGGAGCCAGGAATAGCCTTGCCGCTCTGACCGGCAGCAACCTGGGCCTCGTAGTCGAGATGCTCGGCGACACCTGCACCACGGGGTCCATACAAGCCAACAGCGTGAACCTCGTCGAGGAAGGTAAGGGCACCGTACTTGTCGGCCAAGTCGCATATTTCCTTGATGGGCCCGATGCTGCCACACATCGAATAGACGCTTTCGAAGGCAATGACCTTAGGTTGCTCTTTGGGGTACTGCTTCAACTTGTTCTCGAGATCCTCCAGGTCGTTGTGCTTGAAGATGACCCTCTTCGCGAGCGAATGACGCATGCCTTGGATCATAGATGCGTGGTTCATGGAATCGGAGAAGAAAACACAGTCGGGAAGTTTGGCACCGAGGGTCGAAAGGGTAGCATCGTTGGCAACATAGCAAGACGAGAAGACGAGGGCAGCTTCCTTGCGATGAAGATTGGCAAGCTCCTTTTCGAGGGCCAAGTGCATGGCACCGTTACCGGCAATGTTGCGAGTACCGCCAGCACCATGGCCATACTTGTCAAGGGTACGACTGTAAAGGTACAGTCAGAATGAGAAGCTGGTTCGAAGCCGGTGGGGATACGTACTGCATGGTCTCGAGTACAACAGGGTTGTTGCCCATGCCGAGGTAGTCGTTAGCACACCAGACCTCGACTTCGTCGGTGACACGAGCAGTGTGGGCCTTGGGGAATTTGGCGGCAAGTCGGTTAATGTTGTTGAAGTAGCGGTAGGACTTGTCCTTGTGCTTCTTGTCGAGCTCCTCGTTGTAGAACTTCTCATAGGGGAAGGAGCCGTGCTTCGCCTCCGCCTTGGCTGGCTTGGCCTCAGCAGCCGCCTTCTGGTGGAAAGGGCATCCAGCAGCAGCAGCGTCGACCTTTGCAGGCTTTGGCTTGTCAGCCTTGGCCTTCCTGACGGCAGCGGAGGAGAGGTCCTCAGCCATACGAGCCGCAGCCCTAGCGGCGGACGCATGAGGGCACATCTCGACGGTTGCGCCAGGAGGAGGGACGATACCCTTGGACTTGTGAATAGAGTCGACGTCGCCATTGGCAGCAACGCTAGCGTAGCCGGCAATGATTTCCTTGGACCTGACGTGGAGGGCGGGACCCATGACGGGACATTTCGTGGCACGCTCTGTGAGGACGGTGAGGGAGGGGAACCTGGGCGACGAGCTGGTGGACAAGTTGCGCAGAGTAGCAGTCTTTGTCTTGCCCAAGAAGGGGCAAGCAGCCTTGAACCTGGTCATGGACGAGAGCTTGTCCATTGCGAAGAAAACGGGGGCAGAAATCTACCCGTCCAAATTTGCAGTCGCCCACATTATAACGGATCTGCTCAAGGCGGGCGGCCAATCACCGACGACCAATTGGAATCAGCTGATTTCCATCATGCGGTGTCTCGAAACAGCTTTTCTCCGAACATTATGACATTGATATGACTATTACCATTAGATGCAACTACATTACCCGACTGAGACTGCCCTCAAGAACATCTACAGCAAAGTCAACCTCGGACTTGCTCACATTTAGACTAGGCACCAGTCGGATTGCATCCTTGCCGGCGGTCAGAACAAACACTCCCCGCTCGCGAGCAAGCGCTGCAATTTTGCCAGGAACCTCTGCGTCTTTGAATCCCAGCCCAGTAATCAACCCGCGGCCACGTATCTCTTCCTGAAGAACGGCAGGGAACCACTTCGGAAGCAGTGCAAGCCGTTCCCTGAGGTAGGCACTGGTCTCACGAATGTGCTTCTTCATACCCTCTTCGCTCAATCGGTTCAGCACATGGTAACCTACCGCGCATGCCAACGGGGATCCCCCGAAGGTGGTCCCATGGGTACCTGGTACATATCAGAGACATTTCCTTCTCGATTCCTAACAGATTCACGTACCCGCACTCATCGTCGCGGCGATCTTTGGC